CTTCTCCTCTGCTTTCGGTCCTCTCCTTTTTATTACTCTAGACTGATGGCAGCGGTCAGAAGGAACTGGCGGGATTGTCGTGCCCCTCCCTTGGTCATGCGCAGTGGGGCCGGCGGGTGAATGGCCAGCGAGCGCGAAAATCCCTTTTACTTTCAAGAGGAACCGATCGAGGGCGGCACAGGCGCACTATATCCCAGAGGTGTGAATGCACAGATGACCACTCGAAGATCACCAGTTACAGGTAAGCAACCTGTTTTCCCCGTGCCTGGTCATGTAGGATGTCTAGCAACCTTGTTCAAATGATGCTGTAGAAACACAGTAAGACGTTCTTAGAATCTTAAATACCTATGTATACTTCGCTGGAGCGGAGAGCTCAGCATATGTATCTGCGTACGTGTGTAGAGCTATCCCTGCAGTATGGGAAACTCCTGCGGGCAGCAAAGGTACATGTGTATATCGGAGGTTTCGTGCTTTCCACAAGACTCTGGATCTTTGGTTCTTTGGGGAGAGACCACTGCTCAGGGTGAACACACACTTAGTATGCCGAAGGTGCAGGCCGTGACATGTCCACTTCAAGGATCTTAATTTTTCTCCGGCTCCATCCCTGGAGAGCTCCTGCCAGTCAGAGCGGACAATATTGAGCTTGCATGGTCCAATAGTGAGGCTTGATAGTAGGCAGCTTCATACGTTCGGGATGGTCAGCCTCTTTTTACAGGGACTTGGGATGTTTGGGGTAGGAGATGAAGACGAGGTGGTCTCGGGATGGGATGTCTTACAAACCACTGAGCTGTGATCATTCTTGTTCTCTGGAAGAATTGAGGGAATTCATATTGAGGGGAAATCCTTCTGCTGGAGACTCACAGAACTAGAAGAGCTGCAAAGGGGCCTTCTACAAATGCTCGCACACGTTCGTCACACTAACCCATGGAAGTTAGAACTAGTGAACTTGTTTGTCTAATGCCTGTTTTGGCTGCAATTTTAATTTTAGACATTGTTTCCCTGAATTTCAAGGTACTGTGGTGCCACATAGTTTGTTTTTGAAATGTATTATCTCAGACCATGAATGCTTTAGGATATTCAGTTGCCATAGAAACGGTTAAAATTCCTTACGAGCATTCTAATAATAGGCACTGAAATAAAAACTCACCTCAAGGTTTTGTTTTTGTATGGTTCCCTACCCCCACCCTCAAATCCTTTACTTTCTGACTGGTCAAGATAGCCAGTCTAGGCTACTGACCGTGTATGCAGAAAATGGAGTTAGTCTTTGAAGAAGTAATGAGTTGTCCTAAATTGGGGTAAGGGGAGAGATATTCTCAAGCTAGGCTCACAGTACATACAGTTCTGGTTTCTGTATGTGAACGATATCTCCGTCAGAGCTTACTAATGCTCAGTGACTTTTGACAGAGTTTTCCATGCCTTCAGAGCAAGTGCAGCATAGTAAATGCTGTTCCTCTAAGATGGTGTTTTGTTTAAGCCACCTACATAAGAATATCCTAGACAGGGTCCAAAGGCTCATACAACTAGTTCTATGAACCCGAGGCAGTATAGGCAGGCGAGATTTTTACAAAGAAGCAACCCTATGCGGTATGACAAATTGAAGAGAGTTTGACAACCAGCGTTTGACCTGCCTTGGGTGAGGGTAGGTTTCCTAAGGAAAAAATTAAAAATTCTATTTGTCACAGATCTGATGTGGTCTCTGTCACGTCGTTGGGCAAGACTAGCTTTGCCCCCCCCCCCATCGATGCCACCTCTCTAACATCCAGCCTCTCTAAAATCCAGCCCCTCTCTAACATGGGTTGCCCCAAGCCAGCCTCAGTAGCATGCCAGGTGGCCAGGCAAATGGGTAAGGACTTGTGCAGTCTCTCTCAAGTTACACAAACTTTATTTCTACAAGACACAAACTCAAGGTATGGCAGAGAACAGGGTCTAGGTGCACTGAGGAAAATAAATAAAAAGATAGTTGCTAATTATAATACTTAAAATCCGTGTTGCATCAGATCTTTGGCCAATCTCCGTTCTTACTCATATCTGGAGGGAAGCTTTGACTTTTGAAAGCTTACAGCCTCAGTCACTTGTTGATTTCGAAGGTGCTGCGGGGTTCGAATCTGTTCTACTGCAGACCAACACGGCTGCCCTCCGAAACTAAAGCACTTCTCTGTATCCCAGCTTTTGTTAGGACTGTGGGATAATCAGCAGTTGTACTTCTTGCCTATTATTTTGTTACTTACGTATTTTTAAAAAAATCCTTGGAGTTCATTCTGTGACCCTCCCTTTAAAATTCTGTTTAATGTGCCCTGACCTGGATAGCCCAGGCAAGCCCGATCTGATCAGATCTCGGAAGCTAAGCAGGGCCGGCCCTGGCAAGTACTTGGATGGGAGACCTCCAAAGGATACCAGGGCTGGGAGGCAGAGGCAGGCTATGAAGCCACTTCTCTGAGCATCCACCATGCCCCAGTAGGAGTTGCCAGAGGTCGCCATGACTTCCAGGCACGGGCACACACAAAAATGCAAAAATACCAAAAAAAAATAAAAATCTTTTTCTTTAATGCCATTCTTGTGGACTTTCTTCCTTTAAAGAGAAAGAATTGTTAAGTTCAAGTCCAGTGGCACTTTTAAGACCAACGAAGTTTTAGTCAAAGTATGAGCTTTCATGTGCTCGCACACTTCTTCAGATGCATGTACAGGAAAGTTTATACCATGAATAAAACTTTGTTGGTCTTAAAGGTGCTGCTGGACTCGAACTTTGGTCTGCTGCTTCTGATCAACACGGCTACCCACCTGAGTTGTTTTCAGGTTAGCTGTATCTGAATTTAAGCTGGTTTATAACTGGTAAATTTGTTTGGAAAACACAGTTATTTCCACATTAGCAAAAACTGTAGCACTCCCATTACTGGTGAAAATAACTTTGAGAATTTTCAAAACAGAACAAGCAGCGTGCACAAACAAGCCATCCCCCTCCCCCTGTGTTAAATGCTTCAAGATTGTCTTATTACATCAGTTTGGCTGGAGGAGCTCTGATCCTAAATAAGTGCTGTCACTGCAAATCTCATCAAGGTGATTGTGGCTTGTTCTGGCAGAATGCTTTGAAGGCTGCCCAGCATGCAGGAAAAGAGAAAGTGCCGAATGGTTTCTGAAAATCCTATAGCTGTGTTGGCGCGTGCTAAAAATTGCATGTGTATGATGTACTCTGAGGAGCTGCGGTGGCTCAGAGGTTAAGACGCTGAGCTGCAGACCGGAAGGTCTGTAGTTTGGCAGTTCGAGACCCAAGTGCCACGTGACAGCGTGAGCTCCCGTCTCTGGCCCCAGCTCCTGCCAACCTAGCAGTTTGAAAGCAAGAAATTGCAAGTAGATAAATAGGTACTGCTTCGGTGGGAAGCGTTCCGTGCGCCTCGGTATTTAGTCACACCAGCCACATGACCACGGAAACATCTTTGGACGGTGCTGGCTCTTTGGCTTGGAAATGGAGATGAGCACTGATCCTCAGAGTCAGATTCGACTAGCTTTCGAGCAAGGGAAACCTTTACCTTTATGATGTACTCTAGCACTAATACAAAATTCTGATACAATGCCCAGTTCGGAACACCTACATTTTTTTATCTTCCCCCCCCCCCCCCCCCCCCTTCCTGAAAACTCCCATCATCAAAGCCAGTTTGAAGGGGGTGGGGTGGGGTCGGGAAATACCTGAAGATTTGGGGGGGGTGGAGCTTGGGGAGAGAGGGATTTGGGAATGGGATATAATGCCATAGGGTCCACCTTCCAAATCAGCCGTTTTCTCCAGGGTAACTGAACTCCCTTGTCTGGAAAGCAGCTTTCATTCAAGGACATCTCCAGGCCCTACCTGGACATTGGCAACCCTAAGGGGTGTTCTTTGAGAAATGAATGTGGGATTGGTGGGCCAAAACCTAACTGCACCCCTCCATTTAACTACAAATGAGTGCTGTTGCTGCTCGTTTTGTTTCTGGGTGGGCAGCGACCTTAAGGGGTTGTCTGTGACCCTGGGCTATCTAAGTCAGTTGATTGGCTGTGGCTGGTAAGAGCTCTCCAGATCTCAGGTGAAGAATGGCCTTTCCCAAACCTGCTACCTGAAAACTCACTGGAGATACTGAGGCTTAGGTTGGCGACCTTCTGTGTGCAAAGCATTTCTACTCTTGCTGAGCCACATCTCTCCTCCCCATCGGGATAAGGTGGACTTGGCTGAGATTTGAATGGCCTTTGGCAAATCCCTACCTGTCAGACTCGGTTTCCACTCTTTAAAGTCTGAATAATTGTGACTTGCCTTGCAGCCACTGTGAGGATAAATTATGACTATCAATCCAGTTTCATCTAACGAGACGCGTGCATGGTGCAACAAACTAATGTATGAGTGTATCTCTCTGGTGCTCTCCATTTTCTTAAGGTGGATATAGTTCCAGTATATTTTTTTAAAGGTATTTCATCAAGACTGTGCAATGACAATGAGCCCCGTATTGAAAGCACACTAGCATTGTTGCTTCCTTATGGAAAAAAAAAAAAGATACCGGGTGACATCATCTTCTAGGATGGAGAAAATGAGAGAGCCATAGCCGGGCAGAGATTTATATTGTTTGCTTTGCTGCCTATACCATCATTGTAAACTAATGTGCATCTCGGAGCTTTGCTTGTGTGGCTGGCACACGGAAGGGAACAATATGAGGGTTAGAGAGGGAATCTGTTTCTTTAACCCAGTTATCTCTCTCCATCTCACCTGAGCTTGAAGCCGCAAACAGCCACAGAACTGTAACAAGATTATAATCATGTGAGGAGGGGAAGGGGGGGAGATGGAGGAAAGGGAGAGGGAGGGGGGGGGGGGAAGGCACATCCTCCAGACGCTTTTTTGACATCAGATTCTGTTACCAGCAATATTTAGCTGTGCGTGGATGTTCAGGAAAGCAAGATTGTTCTAAGTCACAACTTGCTCAATGTAGGGTGTGTGTGTGGTATTACTATGCTCCTGCTTTACACCTTTTTAATTTCCTTCTTAGAATCAATCTACCGTCGCGGAGCCAGAAGATGGAGGAAGCTGTACAGAGTGAATGGGCATCTGTTTCAAGCCAAACGCTTTAACAGAGTGAGTACTGTTGCTAAAAAGAACTGGTGGGGTGATGGTGGGAGAGGAGTCTGTGTGTGTGCGTGGAACAGGGGAAGATTATTAGTATTTTTCCCCCAGTGGAGGCTTTCTTGTATTGAGGAGAGAGAGAGAGAGAAAAAAGAAGATATTTTGCTTTGGATATTAAGAGATTTTGTTTGTTTCAAGGTGGCTAATGCAATATTACTCAAAGAGCCTTTGGATTATCCATTCTGGGGGCAGCCATACAGGAGTTTTTTCCCCCAGAACTTGCCTTTGTGTTTTGTTTCCTAATAAATATTCTTCACATTGCCTTTTCAGCCACTCTGCATCAGTGTGAAAACCTCCCCCCCCCCACGCCCCCGGCACGTTTATTGTCTTCCACTGCTTCCTTTTTCCCTCCTATTGTGCATGTGGATTAGTGTTAAGATGCTTAGAATTCTCTTAAAATACCCAGGAGCTAAATGGATATGACCTAATTAACTACACCGCAAATATTTTTATCTTCTGAGCTGCAAACTGCTGCATGTGGTAAGGATCTGACTTCATCGATAAAAGCAAAAGAATCCAGAGACCCCTCCTTCCTTAACCCAGCCCATTATGCTGCAGCATGTATTCTCTGTATAGCCCCCCCCCCCCTTTGGGGGGAAGTTGTATAAAATCCTTGTGATAGGGGAGTGTCAGATTGAAGATTTGTTTAAATATCAGAGTGGTTTGATGATTGTTGCTTTGTGAGTTCAGGCAGAGGTGTTTGTCTTACAACAGATTTTTATATGCAATTCACCTCCATGTTAAGATTTCTCAGTATAGCAATAATGGGATAGTTTAAAAAAAAAAAACCCAAGATTTTTAAAAATCGCAATTTACATTTGTAATCCCAGGATGATTTTGCCAATTTGCCCTGTTTGTGGGTTTCCTGGAAATCTTCTGACTGGCCTCTATGGGAAACAGGGCACTGGACCAGGTGGTCTGATTCAAAAGCAGGACATTATATATAAATGATAGAAGTCTTATATTTCGGTAGGCTGGTAGTATGTTAACACATCTTAATTAGAATATATCAGGGAGCCATAATTTTTGCATCCTCAGCATATTTTCAAGAAGCATAAAATATTAAGCTTGCATTAGCTTAGGCATCCTAACAGTTGTTATTGACAGTGAATGGGCCTACTTCCCAAATAGTCATGTCAAAGGCAAATAGGTTGGAAAATACATAAACAGGAGTTGTTTGGCACTTTAATAACAAATATTTATTCCAGTATAAGCTTTTTTGTTTCTTTTTCAGTTGCCACGACTTCTGTTTGTTTTTTGCTGCAACATACTACTCCACTGAATATTTATAAAATATCTGTTTAGAATTTATATCCTATGTAATTTTCTAAGCTTGGGGATGAGATAGGAGCTTATCTTTGAACAGTGTATTCTGCTTCATACAACTCTTCCACTCCTAAACTCTGCCATGAAAACTC